TGGTTTACCTGATTCAGACAAACATAATGACGATTTTCTAGAAGTCGGTGGTAATTGGGAGTTTCCTGTTGGGACTGAGTTCCAATCTAAATGGATGCCCTAGAAAGATGACTACCTAGGTTCAAGTCCTTCTTTCTAGTGTTTTCTGCGTTTCTTGCCTTGTTTTGAATGTTGCTCTAATGTTGCCCTTCTTTTCTACAGAGGCTTCCTGTTTTCAGCGCAGGTCAAACCAAGAGAATACTGAGGCCATCAAAGCTGTTTTGAGGTACAAGAAGAGGTCCACCCTCGAGCTATTGGATTACCAAGTGACTTATCGTTCCACTATCCCGAAGAAAGTGAGGCTCACTGCATCTCTTTTGGATTCTGACACTAAGACTGATACATCCTTTACCCCTCTGGTTACGAATCACCACCGAAGCCAAGGTGTGCCGTCTAAGAGGACACCTTCTTCTGCCCCCAGTTTCGCAGGGGGTGGGTCTATGTCAAAAATGAGAGTACTGGTGGATTTGGAAATTGAGGCTTTTGGCTCCTCTGACGCTTTAGGGACTCCTTCAGTTAAGGCCAAAACGAAGAGCCTTATAGATGTAAAGTTAGAGATAGGAGCCTTTGATGCTGCCGAACCCTCTGCTTTGGTTGCTGCAAGGGCGAAAAAGATGAGGAGGGAAACCGACAAGGCGGTAGTTGGGGAGGCCTCTGAAGATCCTATTGAAGATGAGCCGTTTGAGAAGTGGGAGCCGCCAATGTTGCATCAGGGCAGATCTATTTCTACTTCAGATTCAGTTATTGCTTCCGGAGACTTTGCTTTTGACCTAACCAAGACCTTGCTAATGCCAGTAGACATGGCTGATCACAACGGGCCCCGTGATATTCCCTTTCTGAAGAGGACCCTACAAATGATGACTACTGTAAGTGTGTTTTGTTTTGTTTTGTTGGTGTTATGCTACTGTTTTCTTTCTTTTAATACCTTGCTATCTATTGTAGTGTATTCATAGGATGCATCTGTCAATCACTAGAGCAGAGGAACTAGAGAAGGCCATACTAGAGGCCTCTATGAATGCTAAGAGACTATCAGTGAGCTTGGAATCTGAGAAAGAATGACGCAGGACTGCCGAGAGAGAGGTGTTTCGTCTGAACAAGGTTGTAACGCCCCGAAATAATTCGATATGAACTACTCATAAGCAATCAAAAATTCACTCAACAATAACAATAATCTGCCCACCTTTTCATAATTAATAATAAGTCTTTACAAAGGTTTTACATGCGGATATACATTCATCGATACAAAACATATGAATCTATAGCATGTAAAGCATCCATTCTCCAAAACAATACGATGCCCTTAAGGGCTTACATCTTCCAAGGCATAAGCCTGGTTACACAAAAGATGGTTTCTGCAACCCATACACATTAGCCCTTGGCTTAAAAGAATTACACAAAAAGGAGAGTCATCTACTCTTCACAAAAGATGTCCACGCCCGTAGTTCGGCAGAATCACCACATCTTTACCTGCACCAAAACCCATAGGGGTGAGCATAAGGCCCAGTAGAGAAATTCTCACAAATTATATACAGTTATGCTTTATCCTCAACACAAAAGTAATTGATGTGCAATGCTATACCAAGTTTAAACAATGAGGAAAAACATTCATTTCAATGCATTGTTTCAAAATCGCCATATTCTCAATATCACCATGTGATCTCATCAATCTCGAACTTCCATTATTAATTCAATAGGGGTGGTAAACACGACACTGGTAATCCCTAGGCTGATGTCTGCAAGTAGACTCTACGAGTACTACAAAACTGTCATTTTTACCGGTATTAACCGAAAGGCTCGACACCTATCCGCGCGACTTTTGGGCTTTCACCCTGGACACTCAGGCCAACTTATCAAATTCATCTACACCTCCTATCCAGACTTACCAACGTATTTACCCCTTACACATTTTCATAATTTCCATCATAATATAGTCTTTTGCAAAATAATGATTTTTCAATCACATGCCAAGATGCACAAAAGATGATAATGACTCAATTGAAACATGATGCAATAATTACTACGTCATAATATTTGTCTATTCTCAAGATATCTTTACAATAATGTCAATCAATTCCATTTCTCAAAATAACCACTCTCACCATGTGCAAAACCACACAAGTTAGCCTCTCAAGGCAATATAATGTTTTCAACTACATTCCAAGATCTCAAGGTTTTCCATGTTCATAATACATAATCATTCATCAATTTCCAATAACACATGTCCAAATATTTTTTTAACAATTTCATTATATTAACCTTCCATTCATCTTCATGACACCAAAATAATAAGGATTTCACAAGAAAATCCATGTTTTCCCAAAATCCCCAAATTCTAGGTCTTTTTCCTCAAAACAAAACCCTTTTCATTTCTTGGTGAAAAATCTCATCACAACATATTTCTTAGGTCAACAAGATGGAAACCCCAAAGATTGACCAAAAATTTTAAAGTTAAAGAAAAACCCTCTTTTGAAGAAAATCTCTACACATTTTGAAATCACAAGATTTATACCATGACAAACTAGAAAGAACTCTTAAATCATCATAAAAAGGGCAAAACTAATATATATAACTCAAGGATATCCGTACCTCAAAGTAGAAGCCCAAGGAGAAGGATTAGACAAATGTGAAGCTTCCAAAAATGGCAAAACCCACTTCTTCTTGGATGGAAATGAAGATCTTGAAGAGCTCAATCTTTCTGTCTAAGGGAGAGAGGTGAGAAGATCACTAGATCTAGGTCAAATATATATAGAGAGAGTATTTCTAGAGAGAGAGGCTCTTAACTTACGGTTTGGATGAAAAAGAGATGAAAAAGTTATGTAAAAAGTCACCTTTACGATCTGATATACGCGAAGTCCGCTCGAACGGAGAGTCTCACGCTCGAGCATCAGACACAACAACAACAACTCGCTCGAGCGCAAAGATCACCGCTCGAGCGTGGATTTCACCCTTCCAGTATATCACAGATTGCAGACAGCCGCTCGAGCGCCAGAAGGACCGCTCGAGCTCAGACACGCTCGAGCGTAAGAAACGCCGCTCGAGCGTAAAAAACACTTTTGCAGCATTTTTGCAGAGACACTCGATACTGAAAGGTTGCAAACTCCACTCGAGCACAAAAAGCCTGCTCGAATAGAAGATCGAAATTCTGGGCAACAAGATTCTAGACCGAAAGGCAACAACCTGTTCTAAACATGCTTAAGTCATTCCAAAACTCAAATTCAAGAGATGTTAGGAAGAAAGACATAACCGGCAACATCAAACAATAAGATTCGGATCCAGAATACCATGACAGTCGGGTAGAGACCCGGGGTTACTATAAAGGTTGTTACCTTGGCTGAGAAGTCTAAGGAAGCTGCCATTGGGGTACAGGCCCAACTTGAAGGGAAGGTGGCAGAGTTGGAGGCTGTTATTGCGGTAATGGCCGCTGAACGTTTTGCATTGGAGGCTAAGTATTGGAAGCAAGGTTGGGATGAGGCTCGGGCTGCTTACAAAGAAGATGTGCTAGTGTTATGGGACAAGCTCTTTCTGAAGGGTTGGTCAAGTGCTCTGGCCGCTGCTTAGGTTACTTAAGGATCTCCCTTGTTTTAAGATGTTCCTGTTCTCTCGAGATCCTTGGGTCCAAAGACTGCTGCTACCCCTGCAATTATTCCAACTAAGGTTTCCCCAGGAACTGATTCTGTACCTAAGACTCAAGAGAGCGATGTTGCCAATGAGACAATGAACGTTAAAGGGGGTGGAACCCTGGAAACTGAAGCTGTGAGAGATGCGGTTAAGAAAGCTTTTACTTCTCAAGAAGTTGGAGCTGCCTTTACTTTTCCTCTCCAAGATGGCCTGGATAAGATTGTGAACACTGCTCCTGATGTTCCTCCTATTGATAGAAGTTGAAGTCTTCTTTGGAATGATTCGAAGTTTTTGCTTTTTCTCTCTCTCTTTTTTTTTTTTTTTAATGTTTCTGCTGTACTGGGGCTCAGTCTTCCTGACGAGTTGTCTCCTTATATTTGCCAATTGTAAGGTCAACTATGCCTTTGTTGGATGATGGAATTTTCCTTTTGATTTTGCAATTTGATGCTTTCTTGCTTCTATGTCTGAATGTTATATGTACTGTTTGCCCCCGGCCGAGCACTGTTGAGACCTCCGGGCTGAATAGCTGCTCGGTTTGGTTAACGAATATGTTGTACCACTGTGCTTGGTTTTGTAATGAAAGGAGAGGGTCTTATTTAGGTCCAGGTTGGTTTTGAAAAACAATTGTTTGCCCTTGCCTGGAGCTAAGTAAGATTGATACTGAAGATTGTACTCTTTAGGCAGAACTGCTTAAGTCTATTGCAACGTTAGTAGTATGAGTGTATTTGGATGAGATGAAGGTATAAAGAGGTGTCTTACTCAAGTCCAGGTTGGTTTGCCCCCAGCTAGAGTTGAGTAAGACTAGTGTTGGAAGTTTGCTCCTGATAGAATTTGGCTGAGTTTTTTCTAACTCTGTGTGTATGCAGCAGTGCTAAAGTGTTGATGTGACGATACTTAAAAAATTCTGTGGACTCAAAGATATTTATTTAAAATATGTTAGTGCGGTTTCCACCAAACAATTCCACTTGGCTAAAGTCCAATTTAGTTGCCAAACATAATTCCACTAAGCAATTCCACTTGGCATGTTTGAGTGCTAACTAAAATTAAATCCCGTTCAATCGTTCTGAAACTAAGTCCGTTTGGGTTAGACCAAAGCTAAATCGATTTGATAAACATCAAAACTAATTCCGTTTGGCGAACACCAAAGCTAAATCCATTTGGTAAATACCAAAACTAAATCCGTTTGGTGAACACCAAAGCTGATTCTGAAAATCTCTTACAATGAAGCCGGTAAGATATCAAGCACACAAACAAAAATTTTTTTTTGAGAGAAGTGGAAAGGCATTTGCATTGATCAAAAGATAAAATTCTTTACACTCTGATAGAGAAGTTAGGGGATAATTCTATTGATAGTATTTTTTGAGATTTGCTACATTCCAGGGTCGAGGTATGGCTTTGCCTTTGAGATCCGTTAGGTAGTAAGCTCCATTTCCAACAACGACTGTGACTTTGTATGGACCTTCCCAGTTAGGTCCAAGTTTTCCTTCGCCACGCACCCTTTTGTGATTCATAACTTTCCTCAAAACCAGTTCTCCAGGTGTGAATTGCCTTGGAAAAACTTTTTGGTTAAAACTCTTGATGAGCTGCTGCTGATATGCTACAAGTCTGATCAGTGCTGCTTTCCTTCGACTTTCTGCCATATCCAGTGCTTGTGCAATAGCTTTCTCATTACTTTTGCTTTCAAACAGTTCAGATCGGAGGGTTTGGAGACCAACTTCAAGTGGGATAATAGCCTCCATTTCATAAGTTAGGGAGTAAGGTGTTCCCCTCGTTGAGTGTCGTGCCGTCGTGGTTCGGTAAGACCATAACATGTGGGGTAACTCTTCAACCCATTTTCCTTTTGCATGTTCGAGCTGCTTCTTTACTCCGTTGATGATGGTTTTGTTCGACGCTTCTGCCTGCCTATTACTTTGTGGGTAACCCGGAGAAGAGTTTCGATATTCGATTCTGAGGTCGACACAAATTTTTTTGAAGATCTTTCCATCAAACTGTGTTCCATTGTCTGCAATCAGTACCCGCGGGATACCGAAACGGACCACAACGTTTCTTATGACAAACCGCTTTGTGTCCGCTTCTTTAATACTCGCCAGTGCTTCAACTTCAACCCACTTAGTGAAATAGTCGGTTGCAGCGATGAAGAATCGTCTATTCCCATTATGGTCCAACAATATCCAGACCCTATTAGGCAAAGGGCCATGGGCTGGTGAGTGGAGTGAGAGTTTTGGCTGGCTGATGAATCAGTAGAGCAAACCTCTGGCATTTATCGCACTTCTGAACATACTGCTGCGCATCTTGTTGCATCCGTGGCCACCAGTACCCATGAGTGAGGGCTTGGTGGGCCAGTGACCTTCCACCAACGTGGCATCCACAAATCCCATCATGAATTTTGTAAAGAACATTTTCAACTAGATTTGGATGCACACACAAAAGATAAGGACCGAGATAGGAGCGTCTGTATAGCTTCCCAGACGGTGAGACCCAGAACCGAGCTGACCTATGTCAGATTTTGTTGGCCTCCTTCTTGTCTTCGGGGAGAGTACTAGATTTTAGAAAAACAAGTATTGGATCCATCCAGCTTGGCTCTAGGTTACTGTAGAGGACTGGAGAAGCAATGCTTGGTTCTGACATGAACTCAACCCAAACTTTTCTAGCGTGTTTGGCATCTAATGATGAGCCGAGGCAGGCCAGAGCATCAGCATGGCTATTTTTGTCCCGATTGATTCGTTCCACTCGTATGGATTGGAATTTTTTGAATAGATCCTTAGCCTTGGCTGCATACATAGTCATTCTTTCGTCTCGTGTTTTGTAGACCCTAGTAAGTTGGTTTACAACCAACTGAGAATCGTTGAAAACCAGAAGTTGTTCTACACTGAAGTGTTCGACACTGCGTAATCCAGCCAACAGTGCTTCGTACTCTTCCTCGTTGTTAGAAGCATTCCAACCAAGCCTAAGAGCTTACTTTCAGATAAACCCTTCTGGTGACATAAGCACTACCCTTGCTCCCAAGCCTCGGTTATTGGATGATCCATTGACATAGAGTTGCCAGATGTTACCAATAAAGAGTTTTTATGCTTCTGTAGCGCACTGCTTTCCTAGCTTGGTGGTGCGTGGCACCTGTACCGAGCCAGAGTTCTCGAGCTCGGTGCCCTTGGTGGGAGTGAATTCGGCAATGAAATCCGCCAAGACCTGGGCCTTGATCTCTATTCTGGGTTGATATCGAATGTCAAACTCACCAAGTTCAACTACCCATTTCGCTGTTCGGCCGGAGAAATCGGCTCAGCTGAAGACGGATCTGAGGGGGAATTCAGTGAGGACATTGATTGTATGACCCTGAAAGTAATGTTGCAGCTTCCTTGAGGCGATGAGCAGTGTGTAAACTAGCTTTTCCATGGGTAGGTACCGTGTCTCAACATCTAGTAGAGTTTTGTTAACGTAGTATACTGGCCTTTGTTCCTTGCTAACCTCTCGGATCAATACTGCATTTACAGGGTGATCCGAGATTGCTAGATATAAGTATAGTTCCTTCCGTGGTTCTGGAGTGAACAGGAGAGGTGGTGTACTGAGGTATGTTTTGAGACTTTGCAATGCTTCGGTATATTCAGGACCCCATTCAAATGCAACCTTTTTTCTTAGTAACTGGAAGAAGGGCTTCATTCGATCTGAAGACTTGTTGATGAACCAATTCAGGACGACCGCCATTCCAGCCAGTTTCTGTAGCTCCTTTGCCTTTGTTGGTATTTCAAGCCCTTGTATTGCTTTGATTTGATCCGGATTTGCCTTAATTCCTCTGTGAGTCACCATGTATCCCAAGAACTTCCCTGTTCCTACCTCGAAAGCGCATTTCGAGGCATTAAGGCGAAGCTGATGGCTTTTTAGGATACCAAACACTTCTCTTAAGTCTGCAAGGTGGTTTGTAGCGAGCTTGCTTTTCATTACCATATCATCTATGTAAGTTTCTATGGTTCTTTCGAGCTGGTCTTTGAATATTCGAGCGATCATTCGCTGGTAGGTTGCCCCGGCATTCTTGAGGCCGAACGGCATTACTTTTTAGCAATAGGTGCCTCTTAGAGTGATGAATACTGTCTTCTCCTGATTTGGGCCAAATAGTGGTATCTGGTGATAGCCACTATAAGCGTCCAGAAAGCTCATATACTCATGTCCAGCTGTTGAATCTACTAGTTGATCAATGCGAGATAGAGAAAAATGTCCACGGGATAAGCTCTGTTTAGGTAGGTGAAGTCAATGCAAACTCTCCATTTCCCGTTCTTCTTCTTGACTACAACTGTGTTGGACAACCATTGTGGGTACTGAACTTCTCTAATAGCCCCCGATGCTAGGAGTTTTTCGACCTCAGCAATTACTGCTTCAGTGTGCTCAATTGAGGATCTTCGACTTTTCTGTACGATAGGCTGAGCGGTAGGGCTGGCATTGAGTTTATGGTAAGCAAAATCCATATTCAACCCTGGAGTATCATATGCTGACCATGCGAATACCTCCATACTTTCCCTCAACAAATCCAGCAGCTAAAGTGTCTCATCAGCACCTAGCCAGGTACCAATAAGGAAGTACTTTTCTGGATCATCCTCGTTTACTAGGACTTTCTCTAAATCCTCTACTATCTTTTTCGCTGGGGTGCCTCCCACATCCTCCAAGACTGGTTCTTCGGTTACTTTAACTATCTGTACTTGATTGCAAAGTTGCTTAGCTTTCATAGCTGCCATGAAATAATGGTTTGACGCAACTTGGTCCCCTGAGATCTGCTCTACTCCGTGTTCCGTTAGGAAGCGGATGAGCTGGTGGTAGGTCGAAGAGATCGCTTCCATTTGGTGAATCCAAGGATGACCGAGTATGGCATTGTAAGGAGAAGGTGTATTAATAACTAGAAATTCTATCTGCAAGGTCTTTGTCCCAGCCACAACTGGCAACACTATCTTGCCAAGTGGCTATTCAGGCTGTGAATTAAAGCCGACCAAAGGAGCTACTGCCGGGCTGAGGTGTTGCTTAGAGAGATCGAGCTTCCTGAACAAGTCATAATACAATATATCCACTGTAATGCCCTGATCTACCAGGAATCGTTTTACGTCTAATCGTTTCCCAATTCCCACAATTTTAATTAGTGCATCAGTATGTGGGTGTTAAATGCCTTCTAAATCCTTTCTAGTAAATGGAACAGTGCATAAGGGGGACATGGGTGCTGTGCATACCTTTTTTGACGTGGGCCCTACTGACATGACCTGCTAAATTTGCACAGCTTTGGCAATTTCTTCTTTCAGTGCCTCTTCACACTCTTGGGTAGTTGTTCCGTGGATTACTGTAACAACCCCTATCCGTAATTAGCCACTAATCCGTATTTAATAATGTTAATGAGTGGATTAAAATAAATTATGTGTTTATTCTGCACTTTGTATGATTTTGACTTTCTATCTGTTACTTATAAAAATATTTGTTTGGAATTCCACTTTAATATGTAAATTGAAAACCCTATCGGCATCCGAAACTGAAATTGATTACACCGATATGTTATTTGGAATTTTTAGAATCATATGGCAAATTTTATTAAAAATTGATTCGGAACGATTCGTTAAGTTGCGTTCGACAAGCCTTATGTTCTAATTAATGTTTTTTTTTAGCACCATAGCTATACATGTAACCCATAAGCTCATTTGAGCTCATTTCTTTCATTTCCCTTAGTGCAAAAATATGAGATTTCATCCTAGAGTGAGAGAGACTCCATTTTAGAGAGAGAAAGTGTTGATTTAAAGTTGAAGTTAGGAATTTTGATAGAGTAGCTCAAGTTTGGCTAGGATCTTGTGTGTTTGAAGACTCTAGGTAAGGATTTAAGACTTAATTATGAGTTTTAACCATCAAGTAGATCAAGAAGAATTTGTGATTATGTACAAGAGTTGGACCAAAGATGATGAAATTAGAGTTAATTCATGCATGCATGTACATTTTCTTACAAATTGAGCATGATTTCCATGAATCCTCTCTTGCATGTTTGAAATTCATCTTCATTTGGGGAAATCATCAAGTTTCAAGTTGTTTTGTGGTGTTTGATCATGTTTCGAGAAGTTTGATACAAGAAAAATTCATGCATATTGTGTTCATGAACATTCATCATGTGTTTAAGTTGAAATTGTGAGTTTTTAACAAACTCTTGGGCCATGATTTTATGAAATAATTCTTAATTCATCATGTTTTACAAGTTTACTATGTTATCTCAAGTTTTGGGGCCCAAGAGATGTGTTTTGAAGGTTGGAATTCGAAGTTTTGAGCTTGAAGGCGCAATCTGAAAATTTCAGAATTTGTATCCACGCGCGAGCGTGGGAGTTCACGCTCGAGCGACCAATCTGAGTGTGTACACTCCGCTCGAGCGACCAAAAGTCTGCTCAAGCGTGAATTGCAAGCTCCCAGAAGTTTCATGTCGTTTATAGATCGCTCAAGCGATCATGTTTTACAAGTTTACTTTGTTATCTCAAGTTTTGGGGCCCAAGAGATGTGTTTTGAAGGTTGGAATTCGAAGTTTTGAGCTTGAAGGCGCAATCTGAAAATTTCAGAATTTGTATCCACGCGCGAGCGTGGGAGTTCACGCTCGAGCGACCAATCTGAGTGCGTACACTCCGCTCGAGCGACCAAAAGTCTGCTCAAGCGTGAATTGCAAGCTCCCAGAAGTTTCATGTCGTTTATAGATCGCTCAAGTGAAAGAATGTGCGCTCGAGCGACCATTCACATTTTGCATGTCCGCTCGAGCGAGGAAAGCTACGCTCGAGCGTGGACCTTATTTTCTGAAAATTTTCCTAAGTGTTCCAAGGCATGTTTTGGAATCCTCATTGCATCTTAGGCATTTCTAAGCCTTAATTAAGCCATAGTAATGAGGTTATGGATTAGAAACACACTAAGAAAAAGAACGTACTAAGTTAAGAGTTTATAAGAGTATGTTTTAAGCAATGTGATAAGAAAGAATAAGAACCAATGTAATGAAAGCTAAGCCTTAATGGCCACTTGAATGTGTAATGATAAGACATGCTTGTGTTATGTATTTTGTGATTGTAGGTCAAGACTCGAGAATTGATTGACCGCTTACTGGAACCACTATGAGTAACGTTATCATTATTATGTTCTGATACGAGAATGATTATGCTATGATCTGTTTTACGCTTATGATATGTTCGGAATTCGTTCACTAACCTCTTTACCTTAATGTTATTCATTGGGCTTTAGCTCATTGTGTGTATATATATGTATAGGTGAGCATTTTGGAGCCCGAGCCTGAAGGCTTTTGTCTGGATCTGTGTTCTGTTGTCAGCCAACCATTGTGCCTCACGTGGAGGTTCCCGAAGTGTCCTGTGTTCAAGTTCTGTTGGTTCTGTGTATATGTATGACTTGATTTAATTCTGTTCGCTGGACTTGGGATACTATAATGTGTGTGGGTATAATGTATGAATGACTTTTAATTATGTATATAAAGTTTTTAAATATTCCGTTTCATATAAGTCAGCACAGCTCATTGGATAACTATATTTATGAATTTGCTTCCGCTAGCCCCTTAATCTTGTTAATCTGTTCAGAGGCCTACGGTAGTCCAAGGATTACTGGCCGGTTCCGATGCTAAACCTATAGGGGCGGGTTTGGGTCGTGACAATTACATTTATTACCAATCGAGGAGGATGCTCAATGTTCGGTTCTGGTGGAGGGTTCCCTTATTCGGCCACCATTTTATCCTGATCAATGTAGTCTCGGAGGTGTCCAACAGCTACCAAGTCTTCTAGGTGTTGCTTCAGTGCTCTGCAATTCTGAGTCATATGCCCCCTGTCTTGGTGATAGGTGCATCTGAGCATCTAATTGCGCCGAGCTGGATCTCCCAACATTTTTGGCAGCCAAATAAAGAATGGCTCTCTCTTGATCTTTTCCAAAATACGATAGATTGGTTCTTTGAATGCAGTTACAACTGCTTCGTGAGATTTGGACTTGTCTACTTCATTCACCGTGAATCCTTGGTGTTCCCCTCGGTCCACTCTCTTCTTGTGCCGAGCTGTTTGCTCAGTTGATGCTACCTCGATGGGGACCTGGTGGTCTTCGAGGCGAGTGTACTACTCAATCCTGGCACGTAAATCTTTTAGTGTTGTGGCCGGACGCTTGGTAAGTGACTGTCTCAGCTTACTTTCCAGGCGCATACCATGTTTAAAAGACATCATAGCCATCTGTTCGCTGCAGACGTTTTCCTCCAAGTCATTATACTCTTCCCAATACCTCATAGCATAATTGCACAGCGTTTCTTTATGTTCCTTTCGGAGACTGAATAGTATATTTGGCTCTTTCGGGATCTTAGTGTTGGAGCCAAACCTGGCCAAGAACTCTTCGGAGAGCTACTTCTAGTCGTAAATTGATCCAACGGGGAGTCAATCGAACCATCGAAGTCCGGATTCTCCTAAGCTGGGGGGGGAAATTTTGCACAACAGTGCTTTGTCTCGGCTCCATAGGGACATTATCTGTCTATAATGACTAATGTACGTCAATGGGTTTGACTTTCCATCGTACGATGTGAACTTTGGTGGGGTGAATTTCTTGGAAGGTCTCATGGCCTCAATTTCCGGGGAGAATGGGAATGAGACGAGCCTATCCAACGCTCGATGCTCTCTCCGGTGGATGGTACGTTCAAGGTGATCTCACCATTGCTCATTTTGCTTGTTACCAATCAGCCAAGTACAAAGGTCTTAAGGGGGGGTACTCTGTTTGTTGACTAGCTGTCTTCTACCCTTAGCCCTTCTTCGGCGTGAGCCACAAGTGTGACTGCTCACTGCCTCACTTTGTACTGGAATTGGCTGGCTCTGCTACCCAGACTCATTTCTGGGAACCTTCTTCATTGGTGGTTCTCGGGATGGACTTCTCTGTCGTAGGCGAGAGGGCTCTGTATTAGTCCTCTTCTCTGTCAGGTTACTCATTACCCTTTTGAGTTGGGCTTTCAGCTCTTGTATCTCCATTCCCATGGAGTCTATGATTCGATCCCTGTAATCCTTCTCCAGAAGAAAGTGATGAGAAGA